TCCATTAAGAACAATGTTGGCTGTTGGTTTTGTATAGATGTCCTTTATTATGTTGAGGAATTTCCCTTCTATACCTATTTTATTGAGAGTTTTTAATCAGGAGTGGGTATAAGACTTTGTCGAATGCCTTTTCTGCATCAATTGAGATGATCACGTGTTCTTTTATTTTATTTATGTGGTGGATTATGTTGATTGATTTTCTAATGTTGAACCATCCTTGCATATCTGGTATGAATTCCACTTAGTCGTGGTGTATTTTTTTTTATATGATGCTGAATTCTATTGTCTAGAATGCAAAAATATCTTTAAATTGATGTTCATCAAAGATGTTAATAATAGCAAAACAAAAAAAGGGAAAATACAAGTGTTCAGCAGTAGAGTGCTGATTAAATAACTTGTAATCTCCTTATAATGGACACAGAATGCATTAAAAATGAAATAAATCTATATTCACTGATATGGAAATATATCTGATATCTGAAGTGGGAAAAAAGCAAGCTACAGATCAATATTCATAGTCTGATTTCATTTTATCAATGACATATTCATTTATATAACCAAAAAACCAGCTGACATTGAGTCAGTTCCAATTCAGGGCAACCCCATGTGTGTCAGAGTAGAACTGTGCTCCATAGGTTTTCAATGGCTGATTTTTCATAAGTAGATTGCCAGGTGTTTCTTTCAAAGCACCTCTATGTGGATTTGAACCTCCAACCTTTTGGTTAACAGCCAAGTGCATTAACCATTTGTACCACCCAGGGGTTCTATGCATTTATATATAAAAGCATAAAAAACAGTGAGGGAAGATTTTCACCAAAATATGAAGTCATTGTCTGTGGATGGGATTACTGGTTTTTAAGAATGATTATGTAGTTTCTAATCCTTTTACAACGTTTTTTTTTCTCCTGAGAGTAAGAACAATCTAGAATTTAGGGAACAATGTGTTTCGGTGAATGTATAAACACCAGCTTATGTCCATGACTACTGGCCAAGCTTAACAGTCTTCTAGTCTCAGATGGCTGTTAATGCCTTGATTTTAAAATTACAGTTTCTTCCCAGATTTAATAGTATGAGACCCTTTAAGAACAAAAGCCTTTGTCTTATTAATCTTTATCTTCCCAAAACAGTATCTGATACATATTAACTGATCAACAAATGTTTAGTGGATTGAATTTAACTGGAATAATTCAACTGACTAATGCTAAGATGAGCTATTTAAAATTCACTGGAACAAGAATCTAAGGAGCCCTGAATAGCTGAATTCCCGTATCTCTCAGTGTCTCTGTGTTGTTAGTCAGTATCCGAATTTAATCGGACATTTTTATTTGTTTCTACGCCGTTGACTCTTATTTTTTTCGATTCTTGTTTTCACCATCTCAGGCCAGACTGGTTATATGTCATAAATCTAATGTTGCCAATGCTTCTTAACTAGCATCGCCGGGCAGAATCTCCTCATCAAATCCTTTCTGCATACAGATATCACATTTAGCTTTGAAATTGCTGCTCTGATTATGCCACTGGTGTGCCTAAGGAGCTGTAAGGACTCACATTTGCCTTCCACACAGAGTCTCACCTCTTTGGCCTTCAAAACTCCTCCCAATAGGGCCCAACCTGCTCTTCTAGGCTTCTCTGTAATCACTCCTCTGCCATAAACATAAAATTAGTTGCCGTTGAGACAATTCCAACTCATGGCAACCCCGTAAGTGTCAGAGTTGAGCTGTGCTCCATAGGGTATTCAGTGGCTGATTTTTTGGAAGTAGATTGCCAGGCCTTTCTTCCAAGGTGCCTCCAGGTGGGCTCGAACTGCCTATCTTTTGTTTGGCAGCCAAGCGTGTTAACCATTTGTACCACCCAGGGATTCCACCATGGATCGTATGGTCCAGTTAAGTAAAGACTTATTCTACTTGGTCCCAAGGAACCAAGACTAAGTCATTCAACAGGCATTTAATTCAATCAATGTTTATCATGCCCCTACCATGAGTCAGCGGCAAACTCAATGGCAGCTAAAACAGCAACAACAACCACAGACCATCAAGAGAGCTACAGGTCAATGGATTTTGACTCAAGATAAGGAAGAACTTTCTAATCGAGCAATCTGGAGATGAAATGAGATGCTACAATTATTTAAAAGAGATGTTCAACGGGGAATTCAAGAACTGTGGGGGATTGGTCAAGATCATCTATAAAGTCTTTCCAATGCTAAAAATGTATAACTCTATCTACAGTTGCTCAAACAGAACGTCTTTTTCCCAGTTCATGCTGATTCTTCTATCTGGAAAGCCTTCCTTCCTTTCTTCATCTATTTAATGTCTACCCGTATTTCAAGACTCCGATTAGGAGACAGCTCTTTCAAAAAGCCCCTATCCAGAGAAGTGAGTATAGCACTCGAAGAGTATTTATCTCAATCTGCCTCAAGTTTGACTTATTTTGTGAGTGTCTACCTATGTCTAACTATTAGATTGTAGCTTCCTTGATGGTCTTATAATTTCTTTCAATCACCTCCCCGTGCCTTGTTCATGGGGAGATGACCAAAAAGTATCAGTTAATGGGATGCCAAGTAAATGAGCATTATATATTTTCCTATATATTTAATATGTATTTATAAGTCCCCCAGCCAAGAATGCAACACTGAATGAACACTGTTTACTGTATAGTTTACTTGTAACATTCTAAGCATCTCTACATCTGCTTTTTGCAAAAGTTACCTTGTAAGTGGTCACTGACTTGGCAGGTTATCATCCATTTCCCAGGATTCTCAGCTATCATTTCTGCGGTCAGAAGGGTGGCTGGGAACAAGTTGACAACATCAGTTCGGTGCCCTCTGCTGATGAAGGTGTTACCATAAAAATAGATGGAGTGGATGTCTATCTCATTCCCCATTCCAAGGAGGTGCCAGGACACAGATTCACCAACACACATTTCAGGCTCTGGGAAGTTTCCAAAGAGGTATCCGTTGAGGGCTGAAAAAGAGACACACACTTGTGCAAGAGACTCCCCTGTAGAGGTGAGCGGGACTAGAACTGTTGGCAATAAATACACTAGCACAGCTGGAAAGTCTGCTCAGATGATTGGTTGTAAGGTATTCATGCAGAAATGCATGGCTTCTTTAAAATAATATTGTCCCAGGAAGGAAGGAACATGTCATATTGTCTTCTCAAGAGAAAAGCACTCAGTAAGAGTAACAATCAGCACACACAGCATAAACAGCCTCCAGAGCTCTATGTAAACTCAACAGTGAGGTCAGGAGTAAACACCTTGCTGCTCAGACGCCCAAGGTGGCTCCATCACTTCGATGCAGGCCTTCGTTTCCACATTTGCCTTCCTCACTGGGCCCTGCATTCCTTGGGGCTAGAAACCCTGTCTTACTCATTGACAGCTACCAGGACCTAGCAGAAAAGCTGGCATGTGGTAGGTACTTAATTTAAGTGACAAAATCATGCAGCAAGGTGGTGAGGATGTGAACTGATTACAAGGGACTTATGAGACATGTTCATATTTCTATATTTTAAAAGCAGGAGAGAAAAACAGTTTTTGCTAGATCTTGCTGGGGCAGAATCTTATTGATTGAGCTTATGCCATAAATCCAGGACCTAATACATTTGAATCACCTAAATGGCAGTTGCAAAAGTACAGACAAAAACTTGATTTGGGGTTTTAAAAAGTCATAATTTCATCTCTCAAATTCAAAACTGAGTCAAAAAGCAATTGTTACTAAGATAATAATGACGTAGGCAGCACAATTAATTTTAAATCATTTCAATAAATGTAAAAGTATATTTAAATACATTAATCAATAAACTATATGTTGACTGAACATGTTCTATAGGCTAGCTTTTTTTAAGTCAATTTGTTTTCTATACTTGTTAGGTCTCCTTTGTCAGTCTGAAGAAGGATTGATTGTTTGCAAACACCTACTTCTGCATACAGACTGTTTTTTTGTTTTGGTTTTTTTTTAAGGTAGCCTATATTTACTTGAAGGAGCCCTGGTGGTGCGATAGTTAAGTGCTAGGCTGCTAACCAAAAGGTTGGTGTTCAAACCTACCCAGCAGCTCCATGGGAGAAAAGACCTGGTAATTTGCTACTATAAAGATTACAGCCTAGAAAACTCTATGAGACATACACTCCATCACATGGGGTCGCTATCAGTTTGAATCAACTCAACAGCACGCAACAACAACAACATCTTTACTTATGTAATTCATTCCTTTCTGTTGGACATTTTCACTCTATAACAGAGAGTAAGAGGAACTAGGTGGGCATCTGAGCCTTAAACCATCACAATCAGTACTTTTCAGTAATATTTGAGATCATAACTCCTACTTTATAAAGAACAAGGATAAAACTTAAGTGGTCACAGTAATGATTTGAATTTAGGTCTTCTTTTACTTCATCCTCCATTTTTATTCCTGCCTCTCTCCCTTCTGATCTTCCTCCCTCCTTTACTTCCTTCCTTCCTAAAATATTTTCTAAGCACCCGCTACACACAAGGCTGCTGGAATATAAATAGAAGAAAAAGAGAGGGCATTGATACAATGGAAATAGTCAGCGTACTGAGAAGCATGCCTTGACACTGGTACTAATTATCACTTCGACCTTTGGCAAGTCATTGATGGTCTCTTGACCTCAGTGTCTTCATCTGTGAAATGGGGGAGGTCAGATGGTCTTCAGCTCCTTCCCCCTCACTTACGATTTTATGCTACATTGAGGCTGCCTCCATTAGGATGATTCTGAGAGACAGACAAGCAAAAGATGGAGGAGATTTGTCAATAAAGAAAATGGGGTGTTTACACTGAAGATTTCCTTTATGTTCACTAGAACTCTCTAGGAAAAGACTGGAGAGGGAGTTCTGGCAAAATGGCACTCTAGGCAGAAGCACAACGCTGTCCCTCCACAGCAAAGATCCGAAAAACTAAGCCAAACAGAGAATACAACAATCCTGAAACCCTAAAACATCAAATGAAGAGATAAAGAACTCAGCCAAGCAAGAAACGGAGTGAGAAAAC